GTCGAGTCGACACATATGTGACGTCAGGACCCTGATCTTGATTTCGCCGCGCAAAATTTATAGCCACGAAACGCATGTCCCTCTTGTCATTACGTCATTCCGGCGTGCTCTTGACCCCTTGACGAATAGAAGTGGTTTCGACAAATAAAAGATCAAATTTCATCCGTAATTCGAGTAGTAAGAAAACGCCAGAGATTTCTTTCTATTTTTATATTCTACGCATTTCAATTTTTTGATTCATGGTGTCAAATTTTTATGACAAATGCTTCGAGGAAAATAAAGATGATCTCTTCTTATATAATAAAGTCGTAAAAGATTATTTATTGTGATTTTTTAAATTATTTATATATGTAATTAATTTTTATACTAGTTTAATTATAAAAATGTTTATATTACGAGATTTATGTTTTTGAAATTAAATTCTAAATATAACTAATATATAGTATAATGTAATTAATTTTTATACTAGTTTAATTATAAAAATGTTTATATTACGAGATCCGTGTTTTTGAAATTAAATTCTAAATATAACTGATATATAGTATAAGAGTGTTGGGAAAGAAATTCTCTTATCGCGAAATAAGCTTGGATCAATCATTAGATGATTGCACTAACATTCTTAAACCGTGACTATTTACGAACGATCGAGTGTAAATATTGTCGTTGATGACTTTTAATCGGATCTCCGATAAACGACAACACGTCCGCGCTTATCGTCTCGGAAGTGTATCGTTCGAAAACGTCGTCGATTACGCAATGTTGGTTAAGCCGATCTATGGACGTGCAATACGAGTCGTATATATTAATTATATACGTAATAATAGGACACGCAAACATACGCCGATATCGCTAAAGTCGAATGAGCACGTCTCTCAATCGGAAGAAAACCGACTGTTACGCAAGATATATCGATCATACGATAATAAAGATATAATTCATATGCGAAAACATCTCGACGTCAATAATGACGCGTGCTTCGCTGTATCGTATGAAAAATTATTTAATATTACCCAATCATTCAATAATAACTCAATAATAATCACATGAGCGGTTTCGAAAAAAAAAAAAACAATATAATCGGTCGATCTTATTGTACAATTAGAGAGAAGCAAAACTAGAATTTTAGTATATAATAAAATATAAAATTATTAATATATAAAATAAATAAAATTAATATAAAATAAAAATTTAATACATTTAAATATAAAATAAATATAAGTATACAAAAACAATATAGGTACAATTTATAAATTATTGAATAATCATAAAGATTATTTTCAAATAGAATATGACTTCGACAGTCTTGTTTTGCTAAAATGGGGAGAGTTTGAATGATTCCGAAGCGGACAGTTTTTTTAGGTAGCCATAAAGGATCATATTTCCTAAGAGAAAATAAAGGACAAATTTGAAAATTTCAGGGCTTCGTTTCAACATGTTTCCAAATCTGTTTGCGAAAATGGAGATCGACGAGCCAAAAAATGATTCCATGATTATAGAAGTCTACGTTCTTATTTTCATAGTTTGAAACTGATTTGAGTATGTTGAAACAAACCCTTGGTTTCTTAAATAGGTGCTAAATACTGTTGTTTTCGTGTAAATGCTCACGTTATTAATATATTAGACCATGAAACGCTAAATAAAAATAAAGGACAAACTTGAGTTTTGGGAAAATAAATAAATCTAAAGGACAGCTACTTGAAATAAAGGACTGTCCTCTAAAATAAAGGACGGATGATCACCGTAGCCATAATAGAGTTTGCATTTTAATACAGTGGTACACAGAGAAAATTGTTTTAAAATAGAATTTATCCTGAAAATAATGATAATCGTGGAACAATACGGTATTGGAAGACTTTTATAAGAGTTTCTCTGATTAAAAAAATTTACCACAATAAAAAATATTAATATCTGCCAATAAGATAAAAAATATGTTCGATTAATTTACCTATGTACATATTAATATGTTTTATCGTGGTAAATATTTAATAAGAGAAATTGCTATAAAATGCAACCAATACCATATTGCCCCACGATTGCCATGATTTTTTCAGGGTAAATTCTAAGAGAAAATTCTCTCCGTGTATAAGTAAAACGCACATTCCGACTTTCTACATAAATTCGCTTCCAAAGTAGATCGGGACACGCGTTGTCGACGTAACGTGCGGCGCGGTTTCGACATCGCGACAAACGTACGCGAGAGACGAACGCGACTCCCTTTCGCCGATTCCTTCTGCCACGCGAGCGAGCTCTCTCGCCTCTCGCGCACGCACGCACGCACGTACGCACCGCTCGAACTCTCTCACTGTCTTCGAATTACATTAGGCAGATAATTCTCTTCCGAGTACTGCTGATCCTGGTAAAAAGATACATAATACGTTCCGAGGCACGCTCCCACGCGCAGGTGTTCGTTCGCTCGTGCCCCTCGGAACACTTTCGACGGTGTCTATTAATAACACCATTCAAGGATCGCGCGAATAAGTGATTCATTCATTTTTCTTCCGAGCGACACTGCTATGCGTCTATACGACGGTGAAATAAATTGAATGAAAATTTAGATACATATATGTTTGACTAACGAGGGACTATTAAGAGTCAGGGACGTCTTTTCTCATGTCGATTGATTGAACTAAAAAATAAGAAAAATATTTCAAAAATTTAATTTATTTGCAATTTATTAAAAAAAAAAAATATTCAATTATTTAAAAAGCTTCAATTCAAAAAAGAATGTATTCTCTTTATGTAATTCATATTTTAATTTCCAATAATTTATATATGCAAATCGCATTTGCATTTTTCTTTGAAAGATACTCGGATATGATTAAGACTCTTGGCACTTTGTGTAATTTCACTTATTTAGGCTTCAAGGCAAATGCAAATGCAAATTATAAAAGAAGGATCTAAAGTTATCGTAATAACCGCGAAAGGAATGTCATAATTCCCAAGGAAACATGCAAGCATTATCTCCTATATACATATATATATGTGTATTGTATAACGCGCAGCAGGCGAAATGTCAACACACGGTCATACGCGTCGCGTATTTGGTTTCTCCGCGACAATATATGTTATAAATTTCGCAATTTTGCTCAATATATCTTATCGCAATGAAATACGCATCCGCGGTTTAAATTCGAATCTCCGGCGATTCATTAATCGACGATCGGAGAACCGCGCTCGCGCGAGAGCGGCCACTGATCCAGAAAGTAATCCCGGGAATTCGTTACGGAACTCGAAGGCGAGCTACTTTCTGTTCTCAGGGAGGCTGTCGGGTTATTTATAGCGTTCTACCCGCCGCCGCATAGGCTGCAAAAGGAAATTCTCTCTCGCTCTCCTTCTCCGCAGCCACCTTCGGCATCTTTGTCCCCGTATATATGTATTGTACACACGTATCCACTCTGGTCGCGAGAGCGAATGTTGTATCGGTCCACCTTCTCTTCAATGCAAAAAAAAAAAAAGAAAGAGAAAAACGTAGCCTGGAGGAAGAGATCGCCAACGATGACGATGATGGAAGTGTATTCGCGAGATTTTGTAATATCGGCGAAAATATAATGACGATGACGAGGTCTGGAGAGATTCTCAACAATCATCGCGATATTCGCTGTTATCGCTGTCTTCATTTTTTATTATCAAGTAATTTTAATTGCGTTTTTATATCAATTTATTTAGTCTAATACAGAAAGAGATTTTTTTTAATTTACCCTAAAAATCATGGTAATTATGAGGCAATATTGTAAATTTTCTGATTAATATTTTTATCACAATAAAAAATATGAATATCTACCGCACAATAAGATATAAAATATATTCGATTAATTTTACTATGTACATATATGTATATATTAATATAATTAATCAGAGAAACTCAATTATTCTATATTGTCCCGCGATTACCATAATTTTCAGGGTAAATTCTAAGAGAAGATTCTCTCCATGTATAGTAAATGATATAAATATTAAAATACTTTGAAGTCATCTCTCTGTATCATAGGAATACTAGAGGAATTTATGAATTCTCTCGCGAAAATGCTCAACTTCAAAAGAGTTGGTTGAAGAGATCTGGCTGATATATCTTTCTGTTTCCTGGAAGCGCTCCGAATCGAGTGCACGGGTTTCCCTTTTGGATAAATCATTGATGAATGAATTGCTTGTATCCCGTGCTCGAGTCTCGCCGCCTCTGTCTCACTCTCTCTTTTTCTCGCGTGCGCGTCTTTCGACTTGCGAGATCTGTAATGTATATATTATACATGAATCACTCCCATATGATAGTTTCCTGCCCATGTTGTTCAATGGTCACTTACCACGCATCCGTTCCTCCGGGTCAGAAAATTTGGACTATTTCGATCCAGATTCTCCGACGATAAAATCGTTCACGACGATTCCGTCTCTTCGATATATTTTATATTTTTTTTACCGAAGAAACTGTGCGAAAAATGCATAAATCATGAGTCGCGGAACTAAACAGCGAGGTCAAATTTTTATATGGACATCATGGTGGATTTTCCTTTGTCGGGAATGTTAGTTAGTCATTATACAGATGATTGACATTGATATGTAGTGACGTGTAAAAACCGACTGTAAAGTCCCTCGCTTTGAACAATTTTATTGAACCTTTACGTTAAACGGAGTAAAGTCCTGTAAAGTCCCTCATTTCGATATTTTGTCGCATCTTTATTGTAGAATAATTGAGATTGAGAGGAGAAACTTTGAGAAATACCTATATTCAAATTTTTGTGGAACTCTACTATATAAATATACATTTGGAATTATTAAAAATGAATAATTAAAGAAAAAAAAGATGAAGAGAAATCGCGAATAAAAACTTCCAGTAAATAATTACTTTAAATAACATGAAAAAAAAAACTGACAACACAAGATATATTATTTTAACGTTAGGTATGGCAACAAGAAAAATAAGGACAGATTTAGCAGAGTCGTTCGACGTCTGCTCAATCATCGCTACAAGAGAGAGCTACATATATACTTAAGGACGAAACACATCTCTCTCGTGTTTACATTTTTCTCGTCGAAATTCTATCCTGTCCTCTGCTCGCGCGGCCAAACAAACAAGTCTCTCCCGAAATTCCGTCGTCGTCGTCGGGACAGTATGGCACGCTTCTGCGATTTTGCATGACGTGGCACGAACGGAGATCCAGGCCGTCTGGCGTAGAAGCTATTCGCGGAAGCTGGGAGCCTAACGCGTCGCCTGTCACGTCGCCTGGCACACAACAGCAGCGAGAGGGTTCGTCCGTTTAACTGTGTTAAGTGCCCTGTACCTACCGGGAGCGTATCATGCGAAGAGAGAAGAGGCGAGAGAGAGACAGAGAAAGAAAGAGAGCCCGCGACCTAAGCCCGTATACTCTCTGATGCAGGACACTACATGACGACGGATAAAGTCAGTGATGCGTCAGTAGTGCTCGTCGCGGGCGCTGAGAGTCTCCTGTGTTTCACCAGCTCGCATTTTACGGGATTTGCCGAAATTTAGTCTACATTGTGTCCGGCCGCCGAATCACGTGTCTCGGAAATTCTTGCATAGATGACGTCAAAGGAATCACGATTTTTCTAGATATACGAACTCTTGGAAATTATTCGTGCACGAGGCACGCTTCAGGCTGCTCTCCTTTTCTTTCATGAAGAGTTCTCTGGTTCAAGTGGGGGTGATCGAAATTCGTGGAACTGTCAGAAGTTACGTGTTCGGGAATTTTCGTCACGCCACGTCACGTCACGTCATCCAAGGGAAGACAAGGATCTTGGAATTCTCGGGATACTCGAATCTCTCTTCGATTGAAAGATTCTCGAGTGGATGATACATTCTCGTATATCTACGAGATCTCCATTTTCTGGGATTGCATAAATTTTAAAAAGGACGGAAGAAGAGAGACAAAAAATCGGAAATAGCTAAAGTGTAATTTGAGAAACTTGAGCGGTGAAATTCCTCAAGATTCTTGAAATTGTGATTTTATTCTCGACATTATACGAGAGTGCGCTGAAAATTGTTCGGAGATTCAAACACGACCCGTGGAATATTCCGAAATACGCACGTTCGTGTATGACATCGCAAAAAATTGTTTCCCGCGTGATCGCTCGCGCGTTCCTCAATTTTAAAGGCGAATTAAATTCTTTCCGTGCTACGTGATCAGCTTGTACGCGCGCTCGCGCGCGCTCGCTCGCTTCGTGAGCGTGAGAAAATCGGCGTGACCGACCGCTGACTAGCACGGATACGGACATTATTAACCCATCAGAGAGAGTCCGGGACTCGTGCACGGTCCCCGATACGAAGGTTCTTCCCTATGCGAGCGCAACTCGACAAATCTGAATCGTCGAAATAGTCTCTCTGATCCGAGTCTCGTTTTGTATAAGCGAGCAGCCAGCTTCCGGTTTGCAGTTTTATTCCATTTGGAGACTATGAACAAGCTTCGCCAATAATAAAAATTCCAGCGGATGAAAAAATAGCGACGAACAAAAAGCGACATGGAGAACGACAAGTGTCGACACCCTATAAACGGGTATCGTTCGACCGCGCAATTTCACCCCATGTTGGACAACAATTCGAGAAACATCCTCGCGAGTGAAAAATTGAAGAGTGCCGGGAATTTGCGCGTCACGTGACTCATCTTTTTTAACGGAAACGATGAGATCTGCCGATTGGTCGAGATCTCCGTGAAGCCGACCAAGTGCGGAAAAACTGTGTTATTCTGACGATTATGTGAACAAACCCCAAGTTCACGTCGCTGTACAAGTGTATTGCGAGAGCGAGAACGACGGTGGACCGGACGAGGGAGAAAAAGTGAATAATATCGAGGAAAAGTGAAAGAACACGCGTGCGTGCGCGAGGAAGCACGTGGCAGCCCGAATCGGGATCTGGTTCGAACCTCGTTTCGTACAGGGATCTTTCTCTCCCGGCGAGTTTGTACGTACGCATTTGTGCGATCCTGTTAGGACGCTTTCTTGCCACAACCCGAGCCTCTCACCGTTCTCGTCCGCCGATACATGTGCGGCTATGATCTCAAACAAGGTGAGCACGCAGTGATTTCAATTCAATAAACAATCGCGATCGCGAAAAATGCAAAGAGTCGTGAAGGAAGAGCTACATCGGCGCGTAAAAAGAATTTTTCTTAAAAAAGAACAATTTTCGTCAGACAAAATATCGAATAATATTCGCAAAATGTATCACATATATCACTATATTTATGATATTTGAAATTAATTTGAAATGAAAAATATTCTTATTTTTTCAAAAATAATTAAATATATAGCGTATACAACAAATTCTATATATTCATTAGATCTGTATAGATTTTATTTTTGAAAATAATCAAATTTATTTATACGGAAGATGCCTAATCTTTCGTAAATAAACTTTCATTTTTTGCATTTACAGCGATTGCTATATACGTCTAGTTCTTGCAAGACATATCATATTTTGTATTGTTGATATTTTATTTTTATGTCTCATCGATCTCTTTAACCTTGTCGCCAGAATAAACCCTACGAGTTCGGGTTAACGCGCTATAGAAGGTCTCGAGCAAAGATAGCCACACGTGGCCGCGATATTCCTTCCTTATTGCCGTTATTGGCGAAGGAGGAAGTCGGGATAAGGATCGGATCGACGATCGATTTGCCGGCGCAACGTTATATCGAAATAATAAATCGTCAAATAGTCGGCTGAATTGACTGCCAATTATTCATATCAATAAGCATCGTCTGTAAGTTACTTTACATGAAATAAGCTTCTCAATTTTCATCTTGACTTCTGATCGATTATTTATTGATCGACCGACTGAAAATAATGACAATAATTCGCAACGTAATTTATTTTCTAATTATGCACGCAATTTATGTGCATAATACATATTTTGTATATGTATCCAATTTTTAATTTTTTTGATTTTAATTGTAATTTTACTTTTTTAAATTATTTAAATTTTTATAGTACGACTGATGCATATAGTCAAATAAATTATTAACTATATTATGTATAGATATACATATATTTTTTTAATCAAATCATTTTTAACGACCCAATTAAAATAAAATAACATTTAACCTTTTTTAAAATTTAAACTATATTAAAGCACAACGTTGACATTTTACCATCTTGTCGAAAGGTCGTATTGACATAATTAATTTATATGTGCTTTAATATACAATAGTTTAAATTCTAAAAAACGTTAAATGTTATTTTATTTTAATTTATGTCAGACTTGAGAAGGACCCAAAACAAGGGTCGAAACGTCGTCCTTAATTTTATTTAATGTCTAACCAACAATAAAGATATTTGTTATGCCAGTTGGGTCGTTAAAAATTATTTGATTTATTTTATTAATCACTGGCGAAAAAAAGGAATTACTACATATATTTTTTGTTAGTTAATTTAAGGCTTGAAGGAAGCCGTGCAAGGAAATCATTCAGGTTTCAAAGATACTATATGCAAGCAATCGTTAATTAATTGATTAAAATATGATTTAAATTAATAGCATTACTCAAACTGATTACTAAATGTCCAAGCCTATTGTTACTTAATTCAAAGTGCAATTTTAAAATATTTGAAGCTTTTTACAATTTAACTAATGAAGATTAGCGTAATGTATCATAGCGGTACCTTCAAGCAACGAGAAATCGCAGGAAACTTGAAATACAGTTATCCGCTGCTGTTTTTCATCGCAAAGATGAGGCAATCAATGTGTTGATACATCAATCGACTAGGTTCCGCGTTCGCGGATTAATACAGGGTGTCCTAATATATAAATTAATTCCTATATTACGCACTCAAACTTTCGCGTCATTTTCGAAAAAATGCAAAGTACACCTTTTTCTCAGCCTTTCTTTTTTAAATGAATCAACTTTAAATCGAAACTACGATTACACATTTATTTCGTAACTATAATGCGAATGACTGTCGATGTAATTGATATGCACGATATTATAGTATAATGGTTTTTTCGCTCATTTATCAATTTTTTACAGATAATCATTTTCCTCTGATTATATGCGTATGCATACATTCATAGTAAGAGAAATGATTGCCAGCAAAAAATCTGCAAATGACCGAAAAACACGGTACAATTTATCATTTGCGCAAATGCCTTTCCACTTTCGCCGCAAAGTTTCATAGACATGTTAATCTCAGGACATTTGGACAAGGTATTTTTTACTTGTGGCTATAAAAAATTTCTTATTACACTTTATTTATTATAATACGTACGACGATAAAATACATGTGCATTTAATTAACGTCACGCGCGCGAATTATGGCAGAACATAAATCAATTTCAAATCCTTAATCAAAATTCAGTACATTATTATTAATATTTTTCTGAAATAGAGTTAATTTTTGTATTTTATCGAATAATCTAAACAAATTAATTTTCCACTCTGCTTCGATATTCATAAATTCAATAATGTGAAAAATTATCTGCAATCATCCTAAGCTGTTCCAATAAAAAAACTATATTCCGATAGACTTCTATCTTTAGAGAATGTGCTAGATCTTAATTGCGCGTATAAGAAGATTTCGAATAAATTCCCTGAGGCCAATGATATTCGTCATTTTTTACTGAGATTTATATATAAATCATGGCTCTCGGAAATTTATTTTTTACTATATCATCGTTCGCAGTTTTCATATAAAATGGAATTAATGGCCGCTATACTTACTGAGTATAGCGCAATTATACTTAATTAAGATTCCCCGGCATTACGCAGCAATTTAGTTAAGTGAATCATCCGTAGCTTTTCTCGACACGAGACATCGTAACGTTATGCAACATCTTATCGTTCGACAATGCAAAAAAGAAAAAAAACAAAGAAAAGATGAGACCGTGGAAAACGCGCTAGAACGCGGTTCTGAGAAAACCAGCAAATCCCCATACATAATTGGCCACATGCATCTCGATGAGCTGTTGATAAATCTCACGTGGATGCGGATATTTGTACTTTTCCAGAAATATTTTGCGTCGCTTATCTGATTTCGTGCGATCGTCATTCATTGCATCTTTAACGGGTAATAACACCGATCGCGTATGATTAAATGCACACGTCACATCCGTTGTGTCGTCATCCTCGGTATTTTCCAAATAGGAACGTTACAATAAAAAAATTATTTTTCTCGTTTATCTAATTTTATTTCTGAAACATTCATACGGCGGAATAAAAATTTTCTTGAATAAAATTAAATCACTATATTTGACGTAGATACATTTTTTTATAGAATGATTTCAGACTCGCGAAAAATGTCACTGAAACTGAAAATTAGCCGACAGTTAAACGATCGAAAAAAAAAAAAAAGAAAAAGAGCTCTTAGGAATCTATTTCCGCGAAACGACGGATCTGTTTGCGCGCTTACAAACGTGTCGTTTACAGACAACCGCGAAAGTGATCGACGCAAAAGTCGACCGGGAAAGTGCTCGGTCGAGTTTGAATCGCACGATTTGTATTGTGTGTATTTGTGCGCACGGAACTGTTCAAACTGTTACAATCAATACAGTCGTCGAACAAACGAATACAAAAATCCGTTTTTTCTTGCTATATTGTTACTTGAAAAAAAAAACTAGCCCGCATCAATGTTTTTAGGGATCTTTAACAAAAATTGCAAAAAATTTTTATTCGCATTTATATATTCATAAAATTTTGATTCACGATTTTAATTATAAAATATTAATAAATATATACTCGCAAACTTTTAAATTAAATTTATAAATGAAATTAAAATGTGTAATATTTTTTTCGAAAACAAAAAAAGTCTAACGATATTTATAGATATAGAAAAGTGTTGTGTGTGTGTGCATTTGTTATTGATATTGCCGGACATGTGTGGCAAATTGGCCAGACCTGAGTGTCTTTCATAATATAAGTGTTCTCTTATCGCCTTATCTCCCGTTGTGCTCGTAACGTAAAACTTGTTCGTTATTGGCTGTTGCTCCACGGCACGATCCGAAAACTCGTTTCTCGTACGTCATTTTCCCTTTCAGTTCCACAGTACTTTTATCATACTCTTTTCGCAACTTGTCGCGAGTTATCGACCTTAAGCTACAATGAAGCTTTATCTCTATCAAGCCTTATCTCGGGCACTCCGTTAAACCGGGCCAGAAATAACCGGGGATTATATGCAACAATACGTAAATCAAGGTGCACCCGCTATTGCGCCGGTATATAAGCATATCGAGCGTATTAATTTGAATTTTCAACAAGGTTGAGCTGCTAGCACAACCATCGAGTAATCTTGTTCAAGGCTGACGAATTATTATTGACGATTTATTATTTTCGCGAGTGTATAGGTTCATTGCGATAATAAATACTTTTCTTCGTGCCAATTAAGCATCAGACAATAATAGACTTTATTACATAACTTACGTCACGTGCGACACGTGTCGCCGATCTTTTTCCGCAGATAACTTAATGTTTTTCCGCACGTTCAGGATTATCGGTTCGTTTAGTTATTGATGATTGATACTCGTTATATCCTTCATTCGTCACGAAACGATATAAGCCAATTACAAAAGCGATTATCATAAATAAAAATGCAGTATCTCAATTAGACGAGTGGACAGAGGGATAGGATAATTGCTCTCGCCTCTGGAATTCTTTTCCTTGCCTCGAGCCGAAGGGGACAGAGGAAAGAAAAAAAAACAGTAGAGGGAACATCGTGTCATTGTGTAGAACACTCTTAATAGCTGCTACGGCTTGGTTGATGCAACCATCAAACGAGTTTGCGCGAAACGCTTAAAGCGATTCAAATTCTTATAGACGTCTCAAATTTTTATGTTTACTCATCACCAAAATAAATCGCAGGTAGCTATCTTTCTTTATTCATGAAGTTGTTACGCCGAATTTTTAGAATTTAATATCCGTTAAAGTTGCGTCAGATACTTGTAGAGAAAGCATATTTCGCCCTCTCTCTCTCTCATTAAATGTTCGAAAATATTTAATTATATATATATATATATATATATAGCCTGAATTTTTTGACACTTTAAACATTAATTAAAGTATATCTTATTTAAAATGTGTAAGATG